TTTCCCTACGGAAGAGAAGCCCTTAAATTACATGGAAATTACCAAAGTCTGTATTAGAAACATGTTTAAAACAATAGATAATAAATTCCATTAAATCACCTGTCTCCTCAATTCTAATACGTTTCACGCAAAATATAACCATTTCTTCTATTTTTTTCTATAATCTGTTTTAGGCCAAATCTATTGCTTTTCCTGTTTCTCAGATGCCTACTTTTTTACATCTTGACACCAAGAAACACTAGTATTTGGAGAAGACCAGCAAGCACACAAGAGGTATGTCATCAGAAGATTCGTACCACCAGTACCCACGTATTTCAGGCTACCAACATTGTAATTCTTCCCTCAGAATAGTTCTAGGGGCTATTAGAAGAATAAAAGGGATGTTTAAGAACAATTATGTGAAAATTAAATTATTTTAACTTTTATTAATTTTAACTTCAGTTTATACTACAACAACTGGAGGGGGTAATCTTAAACATTACTTAATGTCTTATTAAGAAATGCATTTCAAGAAAGCTGCGTGGCAACGATTAGTTTTAATATGATCAGCATTTCTGCTGCAATGGCTAGAGAAGTCAAGCACCTATTCCCTAGTAGCCTACCTTGAAAAAATGTCTTGCTCAAAGTTAAAATTACTTCTTTCTTTCAGTCATGTCTGTAGTGACGACTAAACTTTGCCTAAGTGAAGCTGAAACTATGCATCTATAAACAATTTTTTGGCAGGCATAAACTTAGCTTTCAGTAAATCATATTTGAAATAAAGGTTTTTCTGCAAGTTCATGAAAGCAAAAGTGGCAGAATTTGACTTTGAAAATGGATCTTGAAATGCAAAACTTAAAGCTGTGAGCTAGTACACACAGCGTCTGTTCTGCATTGTGCAAAATCTGAGACAAGATGCTTAGTCATACTCCAGATATTGTAAGCAGCTAAATCTGAAACACGTGCTTAAAATTCCAGGGACTTTCATTTTACTGCTGTGGTCAGATATAACAGATGCATTGTTTTAGGGTGCTTAGATTTACTTGTCATAAAAATATTTATTAGTTACAAAGTACGTTATATATTAATACGAACAATAAATAACTAACAATAATATCCTTAATCCTGTGCCTTCTGCAAGCAAATACGACGGGTTCTTAAGTAAATGTCAGATTTTCTGTGGTGAAAAGAAAAGCCACAGAGACTGAAAGAACAAAATCAGTGTTTCACAGTTTGCAGAAAAAACACAGTTAAAGTTGCTAGGGAATTACAAAAATGCCAACTAATGGTGACTAAACAGAAGAGGGGCAGAGAGAAACTAAAAGGCTATTTTAGGACGTGATCTCTTCTTCCTATTTTCAGTCAGTAAGGAATATTTCTCGTATCTTACTGTTAATAATATAGCTGTTTCAGCTGAAGTAATAATTTCCAAAGAGAAAAAAATAGCTTAATCAACCAATTTAAGCAACAGCACACAATTATTCTATTTAAATTCAGTTGGCGTGTGCAGTGTTCTCTGGCATTTGAACAAAAAAATGGATTTCCTTTGAATTCATCACTATCTATGGCTTCCATCTGGTTTATTTCAAACATAAAACTTAGCAGAATTTTCACTGCAAGAGTACGATTAAAAAAATTTGAAAATCTCTTAACTGTAGACCAAAACCACACACTCAGGTCCCCAAAACCATGGAATAACTACAGAAACTGCACTCAGTTTTCCAAAAGTGTTTCTGTATGAACCAAATTCACTTTAAAATCTTAAGGCTTTATCTTGTCTTATTCTCACTGAAGAAAAACTATTAATGGATATACATCATTTTCATCTATTGTATCAAAATGAAATATGAGAAAATGAATAAAACAAAAAATGGGCCTTCTCTGTGCCTCTGAAAACTCTTCTGCACTACAAAGCCAAAATGAAAACAGAGAGATGGCAGGGGAGACAGAGCAACCACTTCCATTTGACACTTCAGTGTGAATAGAAAAAAGTGAAGAAACCAACTGGTTTTCAGGAATATGAGAAGCGCCGATGACAGTGTATTGGGGTAGATGATCTGCATTCTCTAATTTTATGCCTAGCAGTAACTTTACCTTTCAATATCTTTCGTGATGGCAGATTTGGGCTCAGATAATCGAAGAAATATTAGTCACAACCTGAATGTGTAAAATGGAAGCAACAATGCTTTGAAACAGGCATGATCTACCTTTTTACCTGGTCTTTGACGACATACCGATGCTTTTAGACCCCAGTAGTTATCACTGGGCTAATTGTTGACAAGTTTCAACCACCATGTATTACTTAGTAATGCTTTGTGAACATGTACAACGGAGAAAAACTGAATTTAATAAAGGACTTCAGTGATAAAATTTTTAAAACTGGAATTAATTCTCTGCAAGTGGGAAGAAAGTAGAGATCAGCTTTAGAACATCTAAGAAAATTTCATTTTAGCTTCCGCTGAAATGGAGGAGGACAATTAACTGGTTAACTATATGCTACCTACTTAGCGACGCTTTGTAGAGATTTTCAGCTTGGAAAAAACCCCAAACTTTAGGCTTTACATTGTAAATCTTACAATACCATTATATGCTATCTGAATACTACAGGTCTTCCCATTGATTTCACATCTTAAGAGAACCATGAACAGACTCCAGCACAGTGTCTTTCAAATCAGGAGAACACAGGCCCCTATGTGCTAATGTAACATATATTAAATCTAGAAGCCTCTAGACATAGAGGATGGATTGGAGTAAATAATGACATAAAAGATTTTTTTTTTCCAATTGCTTCAATACTGAGAATTTCTGCAAAGCAGGCCTGCTTGGATAATTTTAGAGTTAGATTGTGTTAGTCTAACTATAACATCACAAATGAAGTAACATTTGATCAGGCCAAATAAAGTATGGAAAAATAGAATTCAAAAGTGAGTGTTAATGTACAGTGCATAGAGGAGTTAAAACTGAAAACCACAGATATTAGCTATATGCTTACTGCTGTGGCCAAATGATCTGAACATAGCCCAGAAGAGTAGGAGGAAGCAGCATTCTAAAGCCAAGCCTATTCCTGGACTTGTTCAAACAGAAACTGGACAATCAAATGCATTATTATCCTCTAGAAGCTTTTAAAAAATATTTGGGAGGACAAAAACTGAATTTGTCAGTGGACTTAATTTTCTTTTCAGCTTCCACTGCAAAGAAAGAAAATTAACCAGCTAACACTGGTAGTGGCTTGGTTCCCCTCCCACCCTCTTTTGGCTACCTTTAACAGAACAGTATGTTTTCACAAACTGAGGTATAGTTTCCTACAACAGACAAATAAATTTCAAATAAAACTAACTATGAATTCTTGGGGAAAAGGAGTTACGGATGGAGGGAATAGTGAGAAAAACCTAGGAAGACACTGAAGCTTAAGTTTTAAACAACTGTAAACCAATGTTTTCAATAAAATACAACTTGAGACTGACCTTTCATGTGAATTGAGAAAATAATTAATTTGCTATTTTAATATGAACCTAGAATCTAAATTAGCAACCAGTATTAATTCAAATATGCAGAATGGATGACCCTTTTTTCTTTATTTAGCATAATAACATACCTTTAAGTGGATCATGCTCTGCTCTCATAATGTCAATAAGGGAGTTTTCCAAAGAGTGCATATTCAGACTGTCATACATTCTATTTCGATCCTAAAAGAGAACAAAATCCTTAGTATTGGAATACAAATTCTGTACTTTTAACAGGAAACTTCACAGGAAGATAAAAGTGCCTTTTAAAGGCTGTACACTCAGACATTTTGGAGATGTACAATGACACAAAAGCTATACCTGTATTTATTGACAGCAAGACCTGATTTTATTAACAGTAATCTAACAGCATCCAAATATAAAACTAAAGATGCACTGTGAAGAACTCTTCTGCGTATGCACTTTGATAGGTTGTGATTGTTTTCCTTCAGAAGAACTGCCTGAATGACTTCTAGTGATCCACAGCAGAGTTAAGCATTAGGCTGTTTAATGAAGGAGACTAATGTCTCCAAGAGCTCAATTTCATTTCACGCAGAAGTTAAATAGTCAATAAGGTGGGGAACTACAGGACAAGAAGGACAGTCACCTCATATGAAAGCAAGCATTTTCCTGGTGCTTGGCTAAGCACCTCTCACGGTCCCTCAGCCCCCTGCTGAAACTGCACTTCCTGGCTTCTGGGTGATTAATCTGAGACCTTTTGCACCACAACTTGAGTTACAAATGGTCAGCACTGAACAGTTAAAGATTAGAAAATTAAAACTAGGAAAAGAAAATGTCACAAAGTTGACAAATAGATTATCAGCCTTATAGAGAGTAATATTTTTGCACATGAAGATTAAGAAGAGTTATCACAACATCTTACATTTTATTTCACAGAAGGTAATAAAAGATCTTGTATAAATCATAAATGTTTTCACTGATTTTACACTCATCTAAGATATTTTCTCTTGTATTTTTTAACACATCCTGGTTACAGGGACTGAAAAAAGATGACTTCTAAGTTCTTTGGTCTTCCTGGGATACCTTCAGAGACTGAAAATAGTTTGCATAAAACCTTAATCTCCTCTGCTTGCAAAGCTTCTAGTCAGACATGATTGCACTTAGTTTACTGTTGTCTCCTCTCTGGCTGCACTATATTAATTCAACAGAGTAGGATGAAATACATCACGCACATCCCATGACCATTAAAATGTACTAACGATGCAGCCATCCACTTAGTGCACATATATAACGGGGACAGATGGTATCTGACCCACACTCACTGTCGCTTTCCATGACAGTTCAGCAGAACATAAATTCATTTCAGACTGCATCCCTGAGCAAACAGGTTTTCTTCAGGTTTGAGGAGCGAAAAAGCAACCTTGGAAATAGAGGTTTTCCACGTGTCTTTGACTATGACTTTCTATGAGTCAGAGACTTTGACTTACCAACCGCTTTGCGAAACAAGCTGTGATGAAACTAAGATTTTACTTTCACCTTTCTTAGAAAGTTTAGTCAACTTGATACAACACTGGGATGAAGAGGGAGAAGGCTTTTCTTCAGTTGTCTCTCCCTCAAACAATATAAAAAGCAATGGTTTTCTGTTGGGTAAGCAATCTGCTATGTTTATTTTATCAGATCCTTTATCCTCTTTTTGGAAGCCCTCGGATAATTTTAATGATACATTTAAAACAAGTAGGTTTCTTGTTTCCTGATGAGGCCCAAGCCAAATGCCACCGACACTTTGCGAGGTGATCTTCAACCCACTTTGAGTGCCAACAAGTCACCACTGCTATGTTGGTTCACAGCAGCCTTATCTTGGGACTGGTTGGCTTTCATTCAGCTCTCTAGCTGTCGTGAGAAGCAGCAGAATGAAACTGAAGTTACTAATCTGCTTCCATGCCCTCGCACATTTGTTTCTCAATAGCACAATGAAAAGAACCTGCTTATCATAACAAACTTGTTTTCTGTAGGAGGTGTGAGCAGTGACAAAGGAGGATCTGTACCTTGCTGTCCCTTAGCATTCAGAATGTATCTCATCAGGATTTTTAATGAAGTCTTAAATTCAGCTGAAGTCAGGATTTAGTAGGTAGTGAGTGCTCTTGCAAAAAACATTGCTGAGTAAATAGAAAACATGCTTTGCTACCTCTGTAGCTGACAGGGAAAAACAACTAGTATTGGTAAAAACTGGACTGAACTGTGACACGTTATCTTTGTTACAGGCTCACTAAATCAGGTTGGTGTTTGGTTTTGAGGGTGGGTGTTTTGGGTTTTTTTTGCAGGATGGGTTGTGTGTGTATGTTTGATCATAGCTATATATATATGTTGAGGTAACACGTGACTATCAGACAAATGGTCATTACTGTAGACTTAACTTTGCTCTGGAGAGCAGAAGCCTGTAAGAAAGGGCTCCATCATGGTTAATTCCTAAACCTGGCCCACTCAGTCATGGATCTTAGAAATGGAAAAGTAAAACATAGAACGTGTGTTTGTGATTCATTTGTAAACGGCTCCACTGGCTGACATGGTGCAATAATTGTAATTTTACCCTTGCATCATTCTGTTTTGCAAGTTCTGTGTATCCAAAGTGAAAGGTCTTGTGCTGCTGGAAGCAGGAAAAAAAAAAAAAAAAGAATGTTTTCTCATTCTCTTCACACCTTCGAAAGTTCATGTCTATAAAGCTAAAAAAAAAAAAAGGGTTTGTTTCTTTGAATTGTATTACTTCATTTCTGGCAGTGGAAACATGGAACAGGCATGCACTGTACAGTCTGAATATGTTGTGAACACACTAAAGTAAAGTAAGATTGAAGTACAGGAATTAGATTCTGCTATCTCACTACCCACATCATGCTATCCACTTATGAGTCTGGCTAACATCTAGGTAATCAGTGCTTCAAGCTTTTAACATCTATTCCAATTCACACTGATGAACTACATACAATAAAGCAACGTTATCTGAAATTTAACTATGTCAAAATGAGTAAGTCATTCTTTGAGTACAAGGTTCAGCCTTTGTGCAACTAGGCTTTATAATGCTAAAATACTGCTTTGTGCTCACCAAGTATGTACATCATGTATTTAAAGACCACAGGTATAATCTATGCAAATACAAAGCTTTCATTTCAAAGCAGAACTTAAAAGTATTTCAATAATGTAGGTGACATTAGCAAAGATTTTCTAGAAAGTTCTGCCAGAGGAAAAAAACTTCACAATAGTTTGAAAGGGGACAGTTCTACTACAGCACGCTCTGCTTGATCAGAAAACTTCCATTGATTTACCTCAATCTTTGGGACAAGCACAAAAGTACTAACACTGGACACAATTGTTTTAGGTTTCCATGCACATGGAAATAGTCCTCATTCTTGTGACTATCTTTAGTTTCATTATTTCAACAACTGATAAGCAGTTATCTTCTAAAACAACCTGAACTACCTCTAAACCAGAGTGGGAATAGTTCTAATTCTTGGGTCTATTTCCATGTTGTTTTAAAGGTAGTTCCAGGTTGTTTTAGAAGATAACCGCTTATCAACCATGCTGAAATAATGAAACTAAAGATAATCAGTAGTACGAAGGCCTTGATACATAAGCGTATATGGTAATACAAGTTTTGTATCATCCTGACTCCAAAAGCCCCTTTTGTCAAGGCCAAATTCCTGCAAAACATTTTGCATTTCCCTCACCTCTGCGGCTCATCAGTCCAGTGCTAAGAAGCAAGTGAACTCCTGCTGTGTCAGGAGGGCTGTGTCTCAGTGGAATGTCACAGCATTGTGTTGTTTTTTTCCCCAGAGCCAACAGTTAACTTCTCCCAAGCGCTACAAATTCTCACACTAGCTTTTTACTTCTTTTTAACTGTATAAATATTTGAATCCTGCTTGACCCACCTTTCCAATACCAGAATGATAACCGCATTCGTACACAACAGAACTGAAAACGTGGTTTTGGCATAACTGCCTCCAGATTCAGAGGTATATGGCTAAGTGACAAAGTGTAACCTCAGCTTAAAAGACCACGTAACAAAGTTTTCTGTAAAGTGGTAATTATTTCTGAATTTTTACAAATTTACACAATATAGCAGAAGCATGAAGTATCCTACTCACAGAATACACTTAGGGCTAGAAGAACTTTTTAAAGAATGCCATGCAATTTATGAAAAACTCCATGCAGTTGCATCTCACAGCTTGTATATTGTCATTTTACCCATAAAGCAAATAACAAGGACAGAAACTCTTAAACAGTTAATACAAAACTAATCTTTATCCACAAACAGTAAAAACAGATGTTCATATTTAAGAAGTTGAACAACTTTGAATTTTGGACACATCTTTAAACTACTGATCTGTAGGACTACTTGAAGTAAAAGTAGGTCTTCACCTGAAGTAAAAAATTAGACTTCTGCTACAGGTATTAAACTCAGTAAACGCACACATTT